CCCCTAATTGTAACACCTTAATTAATCCCGGTGGATTCCATCCCACACTGAAAAATAGTAAAATGACCCTAATGACCTCTATGCCCCATCCATTCCATTACATTATCAGCACCGATCTCGTGTGTTAGTCCATACGTGTCATATTCGATGAATTGGACGGTTGAGATATTCTTGTACGCCCATGACTCCATCATCTTCATCCAAATTAATAAAATACATGATAAACAATTGAAAAGGGACATGACACGTGTGCATTAAAAAATATCAAAGAATTTGGGGCTAAATGGAAACTCTTTATTTCATATTTAATGGGAGAAGTTGTTTACCATAGAAGTCAATGTTGTCGGAATTTGCATTTAATTTAAGCGAATTTTTGCCATTTCTTCACATGCTAATTTCTATTTTTAAGTGAAAAAAGTTTTTTTTTGTTGTTGTTGTTGAATGTTGATTTTTACACAAATATGTCTTTTAATGTTAAGTTTCAAACAATCTTTTTCTATTTGGTTTTGAATAAAAAAAATTTGTTTAAATTTTTTTTTTTTTTTTTTAAATGCATCTATTTGGGTAGGCAGGCAAGCTACCTGCCTGGAAAACGTAATTCGACGAATTACAATATGTTGAATAATCACAAATTTATGTAAGAAACCCCAAAACCTAATTTAGAATTTGTAATACATGAGTTAAAGAATCAACGAGAGGTCAGTCTAATCAAAACTAGTTCACTTTAGTTTGACTAAATTATAACAAATATAAATAAAAATAAAAATAATAGTTTAAAACTGCGTCTATTAGAGAAAAAATTCTCATACTTTGTTAGTTGGTCGAATAGGCCAAAATTGTATAGTTTGATCGGTAAAAACTGAACAACTCAACCACCAAAACTGGTCAAACATTGAATTTTATTGATTTTCAATGAAACCAAATTTTCATTTTCTAAGAACAACTCAACCACCAAAACTGGTCAAACATTGAATTTTATTGATTTTCGATGAAACCAAATTTCCATTTTCTAGGCAAAACACTACTTGGGAGTCCAACTGGTAAAAAAAAAACACTACTTGGTAGTCCAACTGGTAAAAAGAAAACACTGATTGGTAGTCCAACTGGTCAACAAAAGGTAGTCCAACCTGGTCTATGATAACTATGATCAAATTATTCTATGCCATGCAATAAATATTGATTAAAAATAAGGGGAACCATGTGTTATCAAGGTTCCTCACATTGATAACTAAGCATTTTTTTTTTATCGCTGGAGTTAACATCCCGCAGGAGCATATTGTTCCTCTATTGCCTCGGGCAGAAACCCTAATTGGGAGGACATTTTCTAATCTAAAGTTTTGGGACTTAACCAAGAAATGCCGTATGATTGTTTTCAAAAGACAAAATTAGAATTCTAAGTTTTCTAACACTTAGATCTTACCCTCAAAAAGTTAGACGTCTCGATCCAATCTCAACACATTATTTTCTCCAAGAGCATAGAGATTGTGATTTCAAACTTTCTTTTTGGAGGTTAGTCTATAGGTTGACATGTTCCATCTCCTAAATTTAATATCCTAAAACTAACTCCAACATTGGATATTACCATGGGGAGTAGATAGACAGTATGACCCTGCCTGAGCACAAATCTTTTGGCGCCATTTTTTTAACCTAAAAAGATGTATTATAGAGCCTCCAAATGACACATTTGATTCCAGAGTTTCAAACTCCAACGGCTCAACGGTGCCAAAGAGAAGTCATATCTAAGATTTCAGAAAGGTTTTTAAGATCCGTCATAACGAACAATAATGTAGGTTTTAAGATCCGTTATAACGGACAATATTTGCAGTGACTCTTGCCGTTACAATGGAAATCTAGAACCTGTGCGTCATAAATAAACAACCACAAGAATTATGGAAAAGTATATAACAGGCATGTCTCGGTGTTTCAAAATTTGGGTAGATGAGGTGGATCTAGGTTGGATCGTTCGATCACCAATTTGGATCGGTCCAAATTGGCCATCTAGTAAAATATTTAAACTGTTTTCAAGATTTTCACATGGTTATAGATCTACTTAATTTGAATTATTTTTATAATTTAAAATTTTATAATTGGAGATGAAAATATATTATAAGGCCATCTTACGAATTTTTTACATCAAAATTACATCTTATGATAAAACTGAGAAGTGCACCTTACTTCGATTTTTAAGGTTGCAACCTTATACAAACCACACCCAAGAAAACAAGTTTATATAAGATTGCAACTTTATTGGTAGAAGTAATGTTGCATATATCTACACTGCTCATTTTATTTAGATAGTGTAGATTTAAAACTATTTTAAAAGATATGCCACTTTTTGAAACTATCTTAAAAGAGATCAGATCCATACCATCTAAATAAAATAAAACTATTTTACAAGTAAGGTTGAAAAACTATGTTACATAGAAATGGATATGCATGTCTATTTGTGACATGGATGTGAGCATCAGAAACGGGAGCCCTAAAACACGTCGTTTGGATATATATGCATATACATATATGTATATGCATGGGTGTGGGACTTGATTTTTTTAAAGATATGTTCCAAATTTAATGGTGATCATTTGAAATCCTACACACATAGGTGTGGGAGGGTCTCATAGGATCATTACTCATATTGAAAACTATGCATAGTTTGAATTTGCAATTAAATATACTACAATTCATATGTAGCAACAATAGTGAAGCACCACAAAAAAACACAAATTATATTAATAAACAGGACATTATTATTTTGTAAATGTTAATTTTATTCATAAAAAAGTTATTATAGTCCAATCCAATGTTGATTTTAATGACATGGAAAAAAAACTAAAAACTATTGGGCTGATTATTAGTTCATAATATTTTTTATTTTCTTATTCTAAGCTATTTTTTATTTTGAAAAATAACATTGGGCATTTTGAAATCGGCTTGTATAAACATGGCAACTTTCGTATGGGAACATGAATGATTTTTAAAAATTGACGAATGTAAATAGGCATTACAAATTGACTTGTGTAAGCACGGACAATTGTTCATGTTTAAACAATGAAAATGGGCTTTATTTTTTTATATTTTGAAAACAAAAAGTAAAAATAGTTATGAAGAATGCGCATTTCAAAATTGGCAAATATAAATCTAGATAAACTTTTATTATTTAATTCTAGAATATTCTTTTATTTTCAAATAGATAAATGACACTACGAGACACTACTACACCCATGTGAGTATGACCTTAAAGGATCACCATTAAATTTGGCACAAATCTCTAAAAAAGTCATCACAGTGTGAGACTTGACTTTTCTAAAGATCTATATCAAATTTGATGGTGATGATTTGGGGTCCTACTCATATGAGTGTAGGAGGGTCTCATAGGAAAAATATTGTTTCTAAACATAAAAACGCCATACTGTAAAATGAAATGTATCCATAGGAGTAGCAATGGGATCTAGTTTGGTCCACCTGAACTGGTTCTAGGTCCACGTCCAGGCCGGCGCATCGCATCCGAGCCCAAATGACTGGAACCAACCCGACCCGATGTATGCAAGTATAATATT